TATCAATGACCGGTACAAGTTCCGGGAAAATTTAGATTTATGAGATAGCCACCCAGGAGTCCAACGAAAGGTCAATAGAGGTCAAATAACTTTGCTTCAACCAATAGTTCTGAGTTTGACCTCCAGTTCTTTTAATTAACTCGACATTCAAGGAATTAGCTTTTATTATTATTGTAACAAACACACTACTCACAAAGTACAACCTAGCCAAGCCAGCCTCCATAGTTCCATCGATAATCTCTAACCGACAATATAATATGCGCGGGCTGTCATTAGTGTTGCCCTACCACAACATCCTTCCTCTCAAGATTTCTTTATAATTCACAATCATAATCACTTAAATATCTAGGTCTCTTTCTTATTCTACGTTTCATCAACTCTTCTTGAATTATACAATTATTATCCTCTGTAACACTGGAAAACTGTTCATTACTATTGCTTTCATTATCACTACTTTCTAATAAACTATTATTATTATTTAAATTTGTTGTTATTTCTTCATCTCCCTGACACTTATTATTACAATCAGATTTACTGTTTTCTTCCCCTTCTAAAAATTTCTGACCAAAGCCCATTTCTGAACAAACTTCAGACTCTTGTTCAACATTTGTTGATTTTACATTAGGTTTATTTGAATTGAAAGGCGCTGGAATCAGATGCCATCTATTACGTCTATAAGTAAACCCTTGAATATCAATATAATAAGATCTAGGTTCCTTCGCCTTTCTTACAATCACACCATATTTTCTCAGGTCAATAACCCAAACATGTTCTCCTATTTGCAAATCACTTAGATGTGAACTCTTATGTCTATTATTATAATTAGTTGCCATTCTATTTCTAAACTGTGACCTTTTTACTTTAAATCTTTCTTGTAATTTTGCTTTAACATCAAGTTGATCAGGATAAATAGGTAAAATTTCTTTCAATTTTCTATTAAATACTAATTCATTAGGGCTATAACCAGACTCACCAGGAGTATTTCTGTAAACCAGAAGTGCCAAATTAATATCCGTATTTTTTTTCAACAACATTTTCACAATTTTAACTGCAGCTTCTGCACACCCATTACTCTGTGAGTAATAAGGACTACTTATAATATGTTCAAAATTATACTTGACAGAAAAATCTTTAAATTTGCTTTTAAATTGTGGCCCTCCATCTGTACGTACTATGTCAGGTATGCCGAATCTGGCAAATGTCTCTTTACATTTAGTTATAATAGTTTCTTCTGTTAAGTTAGTTAATTTAAATAATTCAATAAATCTCGAGTAATAATCAACAATTACAATATACCAATAATTATTAAACTTAAATAAATCTATTCCCACCTTCTGCCATGCTCTATTGGGCACATCTTCTACTATCATTGGTTCTTTTAAATTGTGTCTTTCTTGTATACATTCAGGACAGTTTTCAACTATAATTTTTAATTGAGATGATAAGCCTAACCACCAAACACTCTGCTTTGCCCTTTCCCTGCACTTGGATATACCTAAGTGACCTTGATGAATATCTTGCAATACTAATTTTTGTAAAGCTACTGGAATAACTAATCTAGTGTTGTAAAGTAAATATCCATTCTTTACTGAAAAACAATGTCTAAACTGATAATACATTTGTAAAAACTTAGGTACATCCTTTCTGTGTGGCCATCCCTTTTTAGTATATTCGGTAATTTGGCAACAAACCTTACATTTTCCTTGTTCTATTTTTATTTTATTTAATTTATGATCACCCACCCCTCCATACTCAATGCTATTTATCTGTAGATCGACCTCCGGCACTGTGCAGGGCAAGGGTGAGCGAGATAATGCATCCGCTGTAACTAATTTTTTTCCTGGAACATAAACAATGTCATATGTGTACCGCATTAATTGTAATCGAAACCGCAGTAAACGAGGTGTTAAATCATCAAGAGGTTTTGATTGCAATATTTGCAACAAAGGTTTATGGTCTGTCTCTAAAAGAACTGTTATACCTACAACATAGTCTCTGAATTTGTGAACAGCCCATGCTAAAGCCAAACATTCCTTTTCAATCTGAGCATAATTTTTTTCTGTTCTATTTAATGTTCTACTTGCAAATGACACAACCTCCCTTTCCCCTTTAGAATTTTCTTGCATCAATACTGCCCCCAAACCATAAGAACTACTATCTGCAGAAATAATTACTTTTTTGTTAGGATCATAATGACATAATACTGGTGCTCTTTGAATCAGCTGTTTTATTTTGTCAAAAGCATTTTCTTGATAACTCCCCCAATAATATAAAACCCCATCTTTTAAGAGTTCATTCAGTGGTTCTAATATATTTGACTTATCTGGTATAAATCTTCCTACATAATTAACAAGCCCTAAGAACTGCATTAATTCTTTTTTATTGTTTGGTTTTTTATATCTTTTAATACTTTCTACTCTATCAGGATCTAAAGATACTCCTTCAGAAGTGATAATATGGCCTAAATATGAAACTGTTTTAACTCCAAACACACACTTTTCTTTATTAATTGTAATACCTTCTCTTGATAACCTCCTAAGCACCTCCCTAAGTAGTATTTTATGACTTTCTATGTCCTCAGTATATAACAATAAATCGTCAACATGTTGAACTATTCCTTCAAGATTTTGAAACAAATTTGAAAATTTCATGGAGAAATACTCGGGTGCACAATTGAGGCCCATTGGTAATCTATTGTACATGTATCTACCAAATGGTGTAAGTATGGTAGTTAGTTTTCTAGAAACCTCACTTAAATTTATTTGGTGGAAACCTTTTGTTGCATCAATTTTAGAAAAAAACTTTGCACCCTTTAACCTACCCAATGTAGTCTCTACTTTAGGTATAGGAAAAATATGCCTTTTAACATTTTTATTCAATTGAGTATAGTCTCCACATATTCTAACCCCCCCATTATCTTTAGGAACTACTACTATTGGTGACACAAATAATGTGGGCTCCTCAATAGGAGACAGTACGCCTATAGAAACTAGTCTATCTAGCTCTCCCTTTACTTTATTTAATAATGGAATTGGTACAACTCGTGGTGTTGTCTGCACAAATGGTTTTGGATTATCAACCAATGTTATAGTAAAAGAATCTTTAAACACACCCAATTCATTAAACACTTCTGGAAATTCACGAATAATATCAACAAATTCTTTGCCCTCCTTTATCTTATTATCTGGTTCTGATTTATCAACACTGTTATTTTTGTACATATTACACAAACTTAAAATATTCATTATTTTGATAGCAGGCCGTCCCAAAATAGGAGATTTTAAATTTTCAATAACATAGGCTCTACCACTATACACCTTATCATTATATTTTATCTCTACACACACCCACCCTAATACCTGCAATGGTTTTCCATCAGGTCCTCTTATTTTATCCTTACATTTATTAATAACAATACTTTTGTTAAGAATGTGGGTTGGTATTGCTACAATGTCTGCTCCCGTATCAATTAAAAAACTAACTTTAGTAAAACCTTCTCCTAAAGACAGATATACTAGTACCTTAAACTCGTCTTCATTTATATTGTTTATCCTTTTCCAGTCTCGACAACAACGAGAATAATGTCCTACTCTCTTGCATTTATAGCAATTGACTTTAAACGCTGGACACTTCTCCCGCTTATGCATTGCTCCTCCACACCACCAACATTTTCTTCCTCCATCCTCGTTCACCTTAGTGCCTGTATTGTTTGCTATTTTGTTTATTTGCATTTCTTCTGCTTCACGTCTCCACATCAATCTGGCTTCCTCCCTTTGTTCTTCTGCTTGCATTGATAATTTTATTGCATCATCTAGACTCAGCTCTGGTATGAGTTGCAATCGTTCACTTAATTTCCTATCTGCAACCCCTACTATTAAACGATCTCTTATCAACTCATCTCTTAATGTACCATAATTACAGGAGTCAGCTAAAATATTTAGCCCTCGAACAAAGTCCTCTATCTTTTCACCTTCTTTTTGCTTTCTTATATTAAATTTATATCGTTCATGAACCACATTTTTCTTGGGTGTGAAATAATTATCAAAAGCTGAATGTACTTCAACATACTTTTCACAGTTTTCCACTTTTAGTTGTCTCACAAGCTGTTCTGCTTTTCCACCCAGTACGTATAAAAACAAATCAATTTTATCTTTATCGTTTCTCTCTACACCACTTAGACTTAAATAACGCTCAAACCTTTTATTCCAACTTTGCCAATCTTTGCTTTCAAATGAAAATTCTTCCGGCGGGCTGACATTTTGCATGGGTATCAAAAGTTTAACAGGTCTCGACTCCTCCCTGCTTGGATTAGCCTCCATGTTTATTATTATTTAATAACACCGCTGCCACCATGTAGAAATGATTAACTCGACATTCAAGGAATTAGCTTTTATTATTATTGTAACAAACACACTACTCACAAAGTACAACCTAGCCAAGCCAGCCTCCATAGTTCCATCGATAATCTCTAACCGACAATATAATATGCGCGGGCTGTCATTAGTGTTGCCCTACCACAACACTATGCTTTTCACTTAATATGTGACCCGATTTAGAACAAATCCGTAATATCCGTAGACAGAGAACCAAAAACATACCATCAAGAAACGTTTCAATAGTTTCAATACCCGCATCAACAGCACTAGTACGTAAACTGAAACAACATATATACGAAAATGCGATCAACGAAGGAGAAGAAGACGGTAGTTTGTGAACCCATTATACACTGAAGTCTTTGTATTCTGATGGTCAGTGAGCGATTTTTATAAAGAGTGAGCGCGTGATTATGATCGTAAGGTTCAAATTTTTTAGCAACTTTGTTCGTGAGCGGTGCCTGTGTGTAGAATGAAATATATCTGTAATTAAAGTTTTTCGATTTGTAAGCGATCAGTTTATTTTGTTTATTAAAATTAACACTTGTGTAACAATAAAGAATAAATACTTCAAAAACCTTACCACATTTTTCTTCATAGCAACTTTAAAGGACTTAAACAAAGATTACAATATTATATCGGGACATAAATAAGACTATATTGGCATTCGATCCGATTAAATTCCATTTCTGATAGTGATTCTTTATGTCACGTCTGTCTTTGATTTTAAAAATGTTCTTTATATAATGTGTTTTGAACATGTTTTGTGAAGTAAGTGTTGAACAGGGGGTTCTTAGAGGGATAATATTAGAAGCATTTGATGGTAGAAAATATTACAGCTTTGAAGGCATTCCATATGCTAAACCACCCATAGGAGAACTTAGATTTAGGGTAAGTTATATTTTTTTGGGACTGGTGCATGATGAATATTCTATTAAAGCCACTGTAATGATACCTCTTGATTGTACATGATGAAAACATTTACAGTCTATAAATGTTCCCAACACCGAATACATTGAAACATGGCGATGAACCCAGGATCAATAGCTTAACATGCTTTCAGAGGCAGATACTATATGTTTGGTAATTTGGCCTTTGCCATTGTCAAAATTACTTAAACTTCACAATCAAAGACTGAATGGGCTTAACTACAGCTCCATTAGAATCATAAAGTAAGATCATTACCATAGAAAGAAAATAATGTGAAATTATTAATCTTTGTGACAATAAACATACTAATATTTTATTCTAAATCTCTACAAACTTAGCTTTTCCTTGATAAGTCACAAAAAATCATTCATTTGTTTAAAATAAAATATGCAGATGTAATTTTCATGAAAACAATTATTTTCTAGAATCCTCAGCCACCAGACACCTGGACTAATGTTCGAGACTGTACTAAGCCTGGAAATAAATGCGCACAAATTAATCCCCTGTCAGGCAAAGGTTTTGAAGGATCAGAAGATTGTCTCTACCTCAATATTTACACACCATGTTTGCCAGTGGAAAAACTTGAAAAGCTGCCAGTTATATTTTTCATACACGGTGGTAGATTGCTTGTTGGCTATGGGGATTATTACCGACCTGATTATTTCTTGCGTCATGATGTTATACTTGTAACAGTTAATTACAGATTGAATGTATTGGGTTATTTATGTTTAGCTATTCCAGAAGCACCAGGAAATGTGGGCATGAAAGATTGTGCTGTTGCATTGAGATGGGTCAAAAGAAATATTGAGAAGTTCAATGGGGACTCCAATAACATAACAGTTTTTGGAGAAAGTGCTGGAGCTGCTATTGCCACGACATTTTTGACATCTGAGATGACAGTTGGATTATTTCATAAACTCATAGCACAATCTGGCAATCATATAGCGGATATATTCCCACAAGAATATGACCATATAAGTGTTGCCCGGCACATTGCATCCATTATAGGTAAAGACTTAGAAGATGTAAGTAGTATTTATGAATTTTTAAGAAACACTCCTGTTGAGAAATTGGTTACCGCATATATTTGTATGGAAATGGAAAGACCCAATTACAGTTTAAGCCCTGTTTGCATGTATGTGATTGAAAAAGAGTTTGATGGAGTGGAACAATTCCTAAACAAAAATGCTCAAGATAGTATGCGTAACAACGATTTTCAAAAAGTCCCAACATTAGTGGGGTCCAACATTTACGAAGCTGCTATGTTTGTCCGTCAAGATGAAAATGGCATTTTATATGAGAAGGATTTGAAATTTGTTGTACCTCGTTGTTTACATCTAAACGAATCAAGCCGTGAGTTCAGAATGATAGTTGAAGCTATCAAAAACTTCTATTTCAAAGATAAAGAAATAGGTGATTCAACCAAAGAACAATATGTTTTAATGATATCTGATGCATTATTTCAAAGAGATATAATATATTTTACAGAACTTGTTGCTAAATATAACAAAGAAGTGTTTATGTATAGTTTTCATTATATTGGAAATTTGAATAATAATGTTACGAGGGATTTGAAAATAAAAGGCACCACTCATGGAGATCTTATACAATACCAGTTTTATAGAAAGAGCAAGTCTGAGAAATGTACACAGAAAGATTGGAAAATTATTAATTTCCTAAGTGAAACATGGTGTAACTTTGCTAGATATGGGTGAGTTTTAGCAATAAAAATTCATTTTGCAGATTCCAGTTAATAATACGTAAAATTAGAATCACATGGCTGGATCTAAAATTTTACCTCAACAGGAAACAAATGTAATGGATAATATTTTTTTATGGATTAGATTTTTTAAAATATTTTATTCATAAATAACGGGTTTAAATTTTTTACAGAAATAAGTAGTAAATTCATTATTTTTAGTGCTATAGGTACATGCGTATCCTACTTATATTTTTGCATTAGTAAATTACTACTGCAAACTACACTATATTTTGTTTGTTTGATAATATAAATAGGTCATTTAATAATTTTTGGCATTTGACAAAGTGTTTCCAATTATTTTGTCATGAAAACAAAACTACTTGGTAATCTGATTTTGATTAACTTCAAATGGGACCATCTCAGGCCTGAATAATCTTTGAACATACATACATAAAAATATACAGATAAATAGAATCTGCTCCTCTTTGGAAGTCGGTTAAAATAGTATTTCTAACTAATAATATATTTTTTCAGAAAACCAATGTGTAATAATCAAACAGTGAAATGGCTGCCTTATTCACAAAAAAAGCGACTAACATTTGTGGTAGATGAAGTCAATAGACTTGTGGAAAACGAAGACTATGCAAGATACAAGTTTTGGAACAACTTATGTGAACTGAAGGCACATCTATGAAACAATACTTATTTATATTGGATCATGCAATTTAAATATTGTTGAGGTTTTGGTAATGTTCTTTATTTAAAAAATGACGCTCGAAGGATCATAATTATAATTATAGAAATAAGATCAGATTTTAGAGAGAAGGAATGTTATTATAGACTTAGTCTATAACAAATGTACTTAGTCACAGCTTTATCAAGTTTGGACGATCAGAGGTCTTTTTAAAAATATATATTTATTAAATAAAATGGAATTACAATTATTTTTAGACCACTACTTTAGATAGAACCTTAGTTATAACTCATTATGGATCTGACCATATATTACGGCTTATTCCGTTTATCCACCCTGACACAGCCACCCTAAAGTGGATACTCGGTAATAGTGATGAGCCCCTCACTCGTGAGGTGCCTCGTTTGAGTTCCTCATTTCGACAAAATGAGGGAGTACTCGTTTTTCAATTTTGAACCACCTCATTAAGCTCCTCACTGTTTGAGTGAGGAGCTAAATAGCGAGTTGTTTCGAATGAAAAGGCGACTCGATACTTACTCAATATATTCAAGATTGAGGGAATGGGTTAAGTTTTATGAGTTTTTTGTTTATGTGTTTCTTCGGAAATACGTATTTAATATTTTATAGATAAATGATATTAATTAGTTTAAGTAAAAATCAATGTTAATAAAAATGTATCGGTTTTATTTAGAAATATATTTATATGATTCGAAATATAAATGATTGATCGATTTTAAAAATGGAACATTTGACACTATTGCAAATAAGTTGCGTGTTGTGGTCATTCTGTTAAATAATAATCTAATAAATTTTATTTCTTAGAATCTAAAGACAAAATATGTTTTGTTTAGCATTACCGACTCCCTCCCTCATTTTGTATCAAACGGCAATGTTGCGCGCGCCTCGCTACGTACTCATTCACTGCTACTATAACATTACCTATCCTCACCTCAAATGAGGGGTAACTCGCGAGCCCCTCACGAGGGAAAATGAGGTACTCACTCATTCTCATTAAAAAAGAGTGAGTAACACAACGCTACTCGGTAACCCGAAAAAGGTGTCATGAAGAAATCAAGAGCGACATCTAGTTTGATTTCAGGAACAATTTTTTTTTTTAATATACCTCATTTGTTCATTTGATATGCTGAATTCTAAACCATTATTTGCTGTCGTTTGTTTTGTTTATTGGCATAAAATTTAATTTAAAATTATTATTGAATTCGAAATTTGGCGTTGGCCCAAAGTTTGGTTTAAACGTGGATATTTGAGGTATTGATGGTGTAGTTCAATATTGATTTTCTTATTTTTACCGTTAAAATGATATTGTAAATATTCCTTCATCATTACTATAATGACGGCATTTTCTCAACATACTCAAGGCATTTTCTAGAGAGTTCTCCTTTAAATTCAATTGTTCTAATCATTCCGGCACATAAATTATAGTATAGAAATATGGCTAACGCTGTGTTATTAATATGGATACATTTTTTATTTCCTAATCTTGAATGAATGATTTAAGATATTATGCAAAGACAAAACTACGTTAATTATTCGTCATTTTTTTCAGTTGTTCGTCAAAAGCAATACACGCTTTTAAACGCGGATCATCGAAATGTTGGGTAATTATATCTTTCCATGTCTTATATTGCTCTACATTATCTCTTTCACTAAGCAATGAAAGAAATACATACAGATTCTGTATTAGAGATTAGATTCCTTTGAAATTACATACTACCTAACCACATATTTTTAATAATAACATTTGATATTTTCTGACTTTCTTCGAATTTAGGGATAGTTGATAAAATCTCGTTCGATATTATATGTAATTTATCCATTTTACACTAAGCATAAATAAATTTTCTCTGTATAAAAATAAAACAAACTTGATTTTCTTGACCAATCAATAAAATTCAACTCAATTACTTTCTTTACTTAGTATTAAAAAAAAACGAAAGTACTAAAAAAAGCACCTCCACTAGATGGCGACTCTAGCAAAAGTTGATTTTTGCAGGAAACGAATGGACCAGACTCATTTCCGTTCCTTTTAATTAACATATAAAAAAACTGAAATTTGAAAAGTTCGAAACCTAGATATCAATATAAATAGAATATGAGTTGTTTATTGAGTTTTAAAATGGCATTTAAACCCGTAAATATGATATTCCAAGAGATACATTTTTTTTCTATTTTTGATATGTACTGTGGCATCTTAGATAATACTCTCGGATGTTGGCGACGGCGCATACAAACTAAAACAAAATAAGATCTCATTTTGAAGTGAGGTGTTATTTCTTCGGCCATTTTCTAGATTGACCGGGTGGGAACAAAACGTTTAGCTTTTTATGAACAAAACGTAACCCAACCCTTTGAGTCAGAAGAAAATGTCAAGTCAGTAATGGCGGCCATCGTCGTTGCGACATATGTAGCGTGACAAGACATGTCGATTTTGTCCATGTTATATGAAAAAAACCAATGGCAGATTCATTCTTCGGGTTCGATACTTCGTTATCGGTGAGTCCGTGCTACTTTATTTATATTTTGGGGTCATCAATATTATAGAAAGTGTCATGTTTCCTAAGTTACTGGAGTGCCAGCTTGCTGCTAGGTTGATTTTTATTGCAGTCTTAGCTCCACTTATTCACGTGTTATTACCTATCTGTTATTTATATTTTAGTTTATATGAACTTATTATTGCGATAAAAGTATATAAATAATGGTTTCTATTTATGTGGTATACATTACGTGCCTATTATAAGTTAGTGAATTTCTTGGTTACATGTTTGTATCAAGTTAATATGTATTTGTGTGTTTACGAGATCTCTCTTACGTGTTCATAATGTTGTCACTGTTTTCTGCATATCTATTAAGATGTGACTGTTTTGTTAGGTTGTTTGTAGTTGTGTTGTGTTTGTAGTGTATCGTTTAGTGTAGTGACACTTTCCTCTTTTGATTTCTCAATGAATCATTACATTCTTTATCTCATGACATCACTATAGGTCAGTTGCATAAACGTCCACTGAGGTTTAATGATGCCTTTAAGCTCTAATGAATGTCAAATTTGTATTGGTAATGTTGCTTTAAACTAATGACAATTTTAATGGATGTTTGTGCAACTGGCGTTTATAGTACAAAGTAGCCCGCAGTTATAAAGTTAATATAGGTTAAATGCCTTATTTGTCGTGATTTGATTTCACATTTTATGAATTTATTTATAATACTTTTGATGTCTATCACTTTATCCTTCTATAAAACTGTATATGCAAGTTTGTGATGATGTACCTATGTAAGTTACTCTTTCATTCAAAAATACCAAATGAATTTTTATTAAATTTGGTATATGGATAGTTCTAAGCACATATTAACATTTAAGTAGTGGGTACTAGATGGGGCCCTAGGCACCATGCATGCAAAGTTAATGGCGGAAAACTTGAATTCAATAGTTATTTAACTTTAAAAAATACATAATATTAAATTACAATAATGATTTCCTGAGTCTGTCAAACTTTGTGTTTATCTGATGTATATACATTATTTCAGAACTTAAATGATGATGAAGGAGGAGGAGAGCCTTCCGAGGACGAGTATGATGCACTCAATGATGAGACCTTCGGACAGGATTGTGAGTATTCTTTTGTGTATGAAATATATGGGATAAATAATTAACAGTAAACAAATAATAAGTCTAGATGTTTCTGTTTCAGGCAACATCAGTTGTGATATTGATTTTGTCTGAAACAGAAACATCTAGACTTATTACATGCTGATTTTTTACATTAGTAGCAATCCCTTTTATTAAAAAGGATCTAGTCTAAATTTATCTTAGATTTTATCAAACTACTCTTTTAATTTTATGAACACAAGTAAAGTAGTGAAACTTGTTAAATTATACAATATTATAATTTTTGTTTTTAGATTACATGTGATAACAAAATAGCATTAAGTTTGATCTGTACCAGAATAACAATTTTCAATTTTTCAGCACAAGAGCTGGACTGGGAGGTGCAACACGAACAGTTGGCAGAGCAGTTGGAGAGCAGCAGGAGGCATCCTGGCATTGACGATGTCAACTCACAGCTGGGTATGTAAATATATTATGAAATTTATTTAGTACTTAGGATACTTGCTCAATGAAGCAGATAATTCAAAAGTATTTGTTATCTTGTTCTTTAAAAATATAATTTAAATAATATGAAACACTGTTGCGGAAATTAGAGCATTATCATCATAATTTGACGAAAATTCACTTAATCTAATAAAATCATGTCTTTCTGCTAGAATTGAAAAAGTAGTAATTAATGAAGCGAAATTTGCAAGGGTACCCATTACTATGGGCGTTTCTCAGGGATCACTATTAGGGCCATCGCTTTTTATTTACCCCCTTTACAAAGAATTTGTGCAAAACAGTATTATTTGCAGATGACACCTCTTTACCACGACCTGTATTGACGATGTTCTACAGTGGTTTGATAATAATAATTTAAAGCTCAATTCTAATAAAATGAAATGCATATAGTTTGCATTACCTAATATGTGAGGCATGTTAATACACTTATAAATATAAATAGTGAAAAAGTTGAATTGGTAGAATCAACAAAGTTCCTAGGTGTTACACTAGATTCCCTACTACAATGGAATCCTTATATTGATAACTTGTCAAGTAGACTAAGTTCTACAGCAATTGCTGTTAAGAAAATTATACTCTTGACAAATGTTGAAACGGCAAGATTGGTATATTTTAGTTATTTTCATAGTGTAATGACGTATGGTCTATTGATTTGGGGTCCTGTGGCATTCAAGATATTTTTAATCTACAAAAGAGAGCTCTTTGCGCTATGTATAATTTACGGTCTAGGGAATCTCTCAGAGAAATATTTAAAGAAATAAATATTTTGACTGTTACCTCTCAATACATATGAAAATATTATGTATGCAAGAAAACATTACGATTCTTTCACAAAAGTGGTGTTCATAATCTTAACATGAAATAAAAATAAACTTGCCGTTCCAAGCTTCAGACTTCAAAACACCAGAGAATTATATCTCGGTAAATGCATGCTATTTTTAATAAAGTTTCACAAATGTAATTGACCTACCCATAAATAAATTTTAAATTCATACTTATGAATAAAGACTATTATAAAGTTGGTGATTATTTTAAAATCACAATGTATGGAATTAATAGTCTTCGCTTTGTTCTATAACCACCATTTATATGTACCAACCTATGTCCTACAGACTTTGAAAGTTGTATTTAATAATGACATGATTTATACTCATTACTCATTACTCATTACTTATGATAAAGAGCTGGTAAGTTTCTTACGCTTGTTCTTCTTGTCAGCTAAAAGAAATCCTAAATAAGTGGAAGGAGAAATTTTTTTTTTTAACTGTTTAAGAGTGCTTGGAACAAGCTTACTTGAATACAGTATGAATTAAAATGAAAATTTATTTTCATTTCATACATATGTGAGATCAGCACACACAATTACTATCACTTTGTTGTAAAGAGCAAGAACTGGTGTGTGACCACCACCTGTCCCCATACCTCATGCGTGTTGCTTATCTAATGTCTCGTATATAAACTTCCACCCCCGATCCAATGATACGACGCGTTTTTATTACATTGTTTAAATATTTTGTTTTTAATATATTTGATCAATTTTGCATTCACAATGCTTTACTGAAAAAAAATTTTAATGGTAAATGTTTAAACGATCCATTTTGTCTCGGACCCATGACTTTTTGCTATACGGTTGACTGAAAGGTAAAGAGTTTGGGTCCCATCTCAGAGTGTCAGGGACAAAGTGGCTTTCTTAAGCATTTTCATTAAGAATATACTTTGTTTTCTTTATGTAAACACATTTTTATATCATAATTTTGAACTGTTTATTCAAAATGTCCCATCCGTGCTATACATTAAGCAATAATAAAAATGAAACAATCAATGTAAAATATAGTAATAACTACTCTTCTAGGTTTTAATATGCAATCAATAAGGAATACCTTGTGTATAATTGAATATGGTATAAAAAGTTTTCTATTATATTCAATTTAAAACTAAATAAAAATAAATTAATATTTCATAGAGTACTCTATGCATATAAAATGACATTAAATGATAGAAGTAGGTAAAAACCTACTATATAGTGGGTTTGTAGTATTATTATAAAAAATTGTAGTATAAACAAAAAAAATATCTGAAGGAGTCAGCCACATCTTAACCATAGCAATTTTGGTGTTAAGTATGAAGTACTTACATATAATTTTCTTTACAGAAGCATCTCTGTCCCAGCTAGTACTGGACGAGACAGACTCAAGGCAATCACGGACACTCGGTTCCAGTGTGTGGAGACATGACTTACCTGTTGCCACAGTTCCAACGGTAAGATAATGTCGCAGATTAGTAGTCGGTTGAAATAAAAAATTATTAATATTTAAATTAGTCAAGTAAAACAATGAATTAATTAATGCAACTGCAATTTTATCTGTTTAACGAACCACCGATACAAATAAAAAGTGATAGCAGTATACAATGCGTTTTCTATTTTGTATATTTGTCCAGCAACCAGTTCAGAACCTCAAGAATGTGTGCACTGTGGAGGAGCTTGAGCGACAGATGCGACAGAAGCAGCAGCAGCAGCAGCAGCAAACTCAGAACTTCTTCCAGGTGTGTATATAGAAAGAATAATCTTGAAACCAAGTGAATGATACATTTGATTTTGATAAAGCCTTATGTCATCTTTTGTTTAATTTACAAAGTACAATGTCATAGGTAATTTATTTATTTGTCACAAACACAGTAATTTAAAAGGGTTTATTTGATGAGTTTGTATATTCATCATTTAACACCTTCCTTATACTATATTTTTCTTTTTTTAAATCCCCATAATAAATATTTAGGTTCATAGTATTATTAATTTGAACAGTTAGTTTATGTTTAATATTATAATGCACATTAAAAACCCGTAATTTATGAATTAAAATTATCGTAGCAAGTAAAGTAGTAAGCAATATAAATATTATTTGGAAGTGAAATGTGTACATTTACTTTTGGTTTCTAGCCTAATGTGTAGTGGAACAAGCACACTGCTCTGGGCTACACTGTATTCACTGCTCTATATATTTTCTTTAATGTTAATTAGGACAACTCAGTTCAACAACACACTGTTAATCAACACACTCTTTCCTGTTATCATGGCATAATATTCAATAGCATGTCCTACGAGACCTATGACTTCATGATTACTTAACCATTCCATTTATTATTGATAGTAGTGCAATAATTTCGTTATAATATCTTTCCTTGGATAAATTTATCAAATGAGTTTAAACCATAACTATATTGTTGATACTGATAGAAGTTTTGGTTGGATAAAGTTACTTTTTTCTTACTTCAGTTTATTTTTATAAAAACAAGATACTATGATAGTCTTTATTTATTTTCTATTAAAATTAAAAAAAAATATATTTCTTTGCAGCCTCGTTTTCCCCCAGTTATATTACAAAGGCCACCAGGACTTCAAGCGCCCGTACCACTGCCGTTTGCTCCACAACAACAGCTTCAATCCAACGCCAATAGCATCAATCAACCGCTCAACAAAATAATTGGGCAAATTAACCAAGTCGGTCAACCCAATCAAATGATGCAAAATCAAATGGGCCCAAATATGAACCAGATGGGCCAAAGCGTGAACCAGTTCATGCAGGCCGCCAATCAAATGGGTCAGTTTCAAAACAACCAATTAAATCAAAACAATTTGATGGGTTTGTCGTCGAACATACAAACTAATCAAATGTTACACAATCAAATGAACCCAAACGTTTCTCAACTGGTGCAGAATCAATTAAACCAAATGAACCAAGGGAATCAAACTAATCAGAACCAGATGCAAATGGGTATGAACCAGATGGCTCCGACTCAGGGTCAGGTGGGTCAGAATTTAGTTCAAAACATGAGCCAACTAAGTCAAAATCAGATGGCACATAATCATATGAACTCTTTCAACCAATTGGGTCAAAACGTGAACCAAATGAACCAGGGCGTCAACCAGTTGGGCCAAAATCAAATAGGCCAAAATCAACCAATGTCTCAAATGGGCCAAAATCTAAACCATATGAGTCAGAACGTTAACCAGATGATGCCGAACGGTAACCAGTTCAATCAGGGCATGAACCAGTTCACTCACAACATAATGGGGCAGCCTAGAATGATGGCTCCTCCGCCGGGTATGAACATGCCGAGGCAAAATTTTACGCAGAATATGGGCCCGTTTAACCCAAATTTTCGAGTAAGTTTATATCTTGAACATAATCTTAGCTGCATTCAATATTAAGTTGAATTATATAAGGTACTGTGGCCCAATAACTTCCATTGTTTTTGACTGCTAAAGTGCTAAAAAAACATATGATACAACTTCAAATTTTATTAAACCGGTTTGGACATCTGTCAGTGTGGGACTGTTATTGAAATACATGCTAGTTAGTTTTTAGCAATCCTCGGTTAAAAACTGTGGGCGTTATTAGGCGACAGTATCTTTCCTAAGAATAAGGATTAATTTGCTTTGGTAATTAAGTAATATAGTTTGCGGGGACTCTCCGCCTCAAACGTGCGCTGTCGACTAACGAAAATACTCCATAAATGAAAGTATAAAATTCTTATTAAATATTATAGATATTTGAATTCCATTTTCTTGATTAATATTTAAAGAAGAAAGAAAGATGAAGGTACCCCTTTTCATTAATATTTCTGGCAACTTATCAATTAGAGGAAATCCGAAAGGAACAACTTCTTTGTAGAAATATATCATAATGAATATCACATGTTACTGTATTTACTGTACAAAGTTAATGTATCTGATAATTTTGTCAGTGTACACCCCTCCATTAGCGTTTTCAGTTTTCCACACTACATTTACTTTTCAGGGCCCAACAATACAATCAAAACCAGAACAAATATCCCAACCAATGGTGAACCAATTTCAAACTAAGAACCAATCGCCTATCAGCACGAAATCGTCCAACCTATCGCCGCAAACCAAGCCTCAAGCGAAAGCTCAACCTAAAGTCGACCCTAAGACTAAGAGCAGAGTGTTCAACTCTAAACCTCAACAGCAGAACTTGACATCACAGAATTTAGTCCAAATGATACAGAACACACATCCTATGTTGCATATGAACAGCAGCTATCACAATGCAAGTCATCATCCGATGTTGAATAATAGGAATCTGTTCAATAACCAATTCATCAACAGTCATATAATGAATCAAAGGCACAATGGAACGATTGGCAATAATATGTAAGTCTTTTATTATTTTGTAGTATAATTAATAGTAACTTTGCTTTTGCCAAATTAGACCTTAACAAAAGACCCAAGTAAAATTAGACCTTAACGAAAGACTCAAGTAAAATTAGACCTTAACGAAAGACCCAAGTAAAATGAAACCCTAATGAAAGACCCAAGTAAAATTTGACCTTGACAAAAGACCCAAGTAAAATTTGACCTTGACAAAAGACCCAAGTAAAATTTGACCTTGACAAAAGACCCAAGTAAAATTAGACCTTAACAAAAGACCTAAGTAAAATATGACATTTTGATCCTCCAGTAGATGCTGTTTTCAAACACTTCTATTTTTCTTTTTTTTTGTAATGCTAGTCTTTTTTTGTCTAGTTTTAATTTATTCGGCCGAGATATGAGAAAATTTCGTATAAACATATTATTTTATTTATTATTTCCTATTACATTCCCTTAGAGGTTGAATTGAGCGCTTACATCATGAAAGGAGCACCTGTACCAAATTTCGAGTATCTACTGTCGTTTCGGTTGTACGTTGATATCATACAGAATGGTTGATATAAAGTGATTAGATTTTTGAAAACCATACGTTATTAAGATGATAGAAGCGCAAAACGTGCACTATTTCATTGATATAAAATCATATAATATGTTATCTGATTTTTGTGTTGACCAGGTTCCGAGATATTTTTATTTATTCACTTGGTCAAGCTTTCGGCAGTCTACAAATATAGCTGCTTGCATATCGGGATTGTTGGATATCACCATGATTTTTGTCTAACAGCCAGTTGCACAAACGTCCATTAAAACTGTCATTAGTTTAAAGCGTACCATACCACCCATACAAACTTGACATTTAAAGGCGTCATTAAACCTTAATGGACGTTTGTGCAACTGACCATTAGCCACGTTTATTCTAAGCCTTGACACTGCACTCATTGACTCAGTTGACAATATTCTGCAACTTGGCCTCTGTGGACGCTACAAGAACCGTATCATTGGCATACCTCAGATTATTAATGAGGCTCTTACTTATCTTAACGACGCATTGTAGTCCCTCCAGACATTCTGAAAGGATCGACTATTGTGTAGATATTGAATAGAGTTAGTGACAAAATGCAACCCTCTCGATCTCTATTTCTTTAGATTCCTCTCCTTTAACTCGGACAGTTGAAGGTTCCAATACAAGTTCTGTATTAAATGCATGTCTCTCATCCAATCCTTCATCCTTGAGAAGTGCCATCAGACAATATCATTAAATAATAGTAAACATATACAATTATTTTTGTATCGTTAGTAATAAATGAAATGTGGTTTTTAGATAGAAATGAGTATTATTCTGAGGACCGGGTTTGTGTGTATCATTCACAATATAAAATAGAAAACTTTGATACCTTGCAATGCCTTTATTTTTAAAGTATATAATTAATCTCCGTTAATGATATTTCGATTGCAGCTGACCACAGCATGACTAATACCTAAATGATATAAGCAAACATAAAAATTTGTGTAAACACGAAGTGTTTAGGAAATATTTGTTGACTGGTAGAGAATGCTACTAGCATTAAGTCCGCCTATTGTACCAATTCAACAGTCAATAAAGTTTATTAAATAAATAACAAAAAGTAATCAATCTGAAGGTTATTTTACTTTAAAATGTATGTAATGTGATCTGGGTTAGATAAAAAGAAATATTATCATCAAGAGAATTTACAGATATATTTCAGCATACTTTATTTATTGTTCTATGGATTCCTATACAAATAATGATTTAGATTTAACTTAAAATTACTATAATCATTTATTTTACCTTGTTTTTTATTATAAATCACATTAATTCAGTGGAAAGAAATACAAGTACATTCATCTCGCAATGATTGCGAACTTCGCACCTACTAAATAACGATTTGATTGGTCGACTATGCCGCGTACCAAATAATAAACGATTACTCTTACACTCTCTAATGTAGTAGTAGGATAAGTTTTTTAATAGTGCATGTTTAGTATCATATTAACAACATAATAACCGCTACTGACAAAACCATTTGATTCAAAATATCAAAAAGATAGTCCTTACATTCAACCCTTCCATTTGATACCACATTTGGCCTTTGGGTCACTGATTTACGTGTTTTGTTTTTCAATTCAAACGGCTCCAGTAGTTTCGAAAAAAATAATCTGTGATATACTTATACTAAAAAGGTTTGATTTCCTTTTCTTTTTGTATGGAAATCTGAAAATTGAAGTTTCAAATCACAAAATTGATATTTTAATATAAAGTTATTTATATCTCGTTGATAGGAAAAGTTTGAATGTTTGTTTGTGTTGAATGAAAGAATGCATTCTGTCAATAGTGCGATTTGAATATTTTACCTACGGAAACCTACACCATACGCGGGTTACATAGATAAGTTATGCGAGCGAAATTTTTGTACGTTGATAAAAATAGGTCATTAACCTCTCGGCACTGTAGGGTAGTCATAAATGTCAACATTTTTATACAGTCAAACTTTTTTACTTCCGATGTTAGTCCAGCATAATGTCGCGCGGTATACTTATTGAAGTATTTGCGGGTACTTCGATTGTGAATATAGAATTAGTGTTAGAAATCAACTTGCGTGCGTACAACATGGTGACATCGGTGTTTATTTAATAAGTAATTAAAACGTCTTAACATTCAGTACTGAGTAGAGTAATGCTTAAATAGTGAATTATTGTATTTGTTATGGAATGGAGGAAGTTGTTTCGTGTGTTTGTGGAAGGTCGCTGGATTGAGTTTAAAGAAGATTTAACTTCATGCAACTTGCGGGATAAGAAGTTTATACTTTTACTGTTTTATTATAAAACGTGAATTTAGTACTAAGTATAAACTCATAAAAATAATCCAATTTAATATTTTCTCTGCATAATTTCAAATTGTCTTTAACGACCTCGTTTTATAATAAGTCGGAACTTTTACAATTTATACATATTCCGGATCTGTACAAATATTAAGTACAACGAGTGCAGCACTTCAAAATCTTTATGCAGAATTATAATTAATTCTGATTTATATACGAATACGTCACTGCTTTCCGCTCTCTGTGCGCTGAGATCTTATAAATAAAACATTGTTTTGAATGCAGTGTTTATTTATATACTGAGTGATTGAAAGGGAAGCTTTAGGTATACTTTTATGCAGGACCATGCGAAGCCGCTGGCGGAAAGCTAGTTGTAAATAAAAGGATCAGGGACTGTTTTTTTTTGTGGATGATTTGACTTTGTGAAATGGTTTAGATTATTGAATAAAAAATGTATGTATCTATGGTGGCGGGGAAGATGTACTTGGAGCTTGATTGCAAGCAACATGCCCATGGGTCGGGCATATGATGGGTGATGAAAAATTTATTAAATTTATATATTAGTTTTTTTCTCCGTCAGACCGCTATTATGTTTAAAGATTTTTTTTTATAAGTATCGATATGACGTATTTATTAAGTTTAATATCTGTATTTGTTTTATGTATATATAATTACTTATATATTATACGATGACAATTACTTATATAATTTATAATTACTTACTTTTATAATTATTTATTGTTTGTATAAACTAGGTAATTTATTTAATGTTTAAATTTTGTAGGATATTTCATTGTGCATTCCCGTCTTATTCTAATAAAATTCATCTCTCCATCCAAAGGTTGTTTGAAACAGACCACTATATAGTGATAAGGCCGCCGACTGTGATACATAAGTTTTAAGGATGGTTGCATCAACTTACTATAACAATAACAAACATGTTAAAGTACCGGTTAAGCAAATAATCAGTTGCACCATTGGGCAATGATTAGATGAGAATGGTGGCATCATAACTTTAACTGTTGACTATAATCGCCCAAAGTTCGCTGTTTTTTTGGTTTATAACTAATTAATTGGTGTATTCTACCCAGAAACACTATGAACGGTGATGACAACAGCGCGTGCAGCGACAGCGACGAGTACGCGGGCCTGATGACGCAGCGGGAGAAGCAGTGGCTCATCAACATACAGATGCTGCAACTCAACTCCGGAACACCGTACATACACGACTTCTACTATACGGTGAGTCGATACACTCAATTCCGGAACACCATACACACGTCTTATACTTTGAGTCGATACAGTCAACTCCGGAACACCGTGCACACACATGACTACTATTCCTATATTCACTACTATACTATATTTTGCCAACACGACACCTGTTTGCTACGACAACCGATTCGCTGTGTTGCCAAATCACCTAAAACTATTTCGATTTAATTTATCCGTGTGTAAAAAAGTATTTATACTACAAATTTCTGTCAAAAATGTTTGACTCTGTGACCTGTTAAAAACTTTATATTATTTAAAATTTGACAAATAGAAATAAGAATTATTTATCCAATATCTAGGGTTATGGCAAGTAAACTTAACACAACGGGCCTATAGCCACTTGAAAAGTATGATATGTAGTGTTAAATCATTGAGATTTATTTGGGTTTGGAGTGAATTTTCCTATTATATGTTTTTCTATAAAATTGTTAACAGGTGTTTTTAGAGAGACAAGCGAGTAAAGAAAAGGAAGGCCTCAAAGAAGCACACAAAGCGAACCAGCAAAATCATCCGTTCTACAGTGGTGGTGAGTGTACACTCTGTTATACTGCTACGAACGCGGAAATATATTGTTGTAGAATGTTATATGATTGTTACTAGTGCAAAAAGGTTATTAAATTATACTTTTTCTATTGTAATAGGGGTGTAGACATTTTTTTTTTATTATTATTTTATGGATATATGTACATTAAATATAACTTTAAAAAAAATTCATATAATAAGTAAAAATCTAAAAATAAATTAAAATTTCAAAATTTCTTTCGCAAACGCAACTTCTGTCATGGCGTCGCACAGTGGTCCCGAAAAAATAAAACATGGACATTGAAGCTACAGCGACGAAAATTTTTTTGAACGTTGATACAGTGATAACATATAAGGCAAAAAAATATTATTACCCTGACACATATACTTTTCGGTAAAAAAAATATTTCGTTTTTTTTTGTATGGGAGAAATTACATTTTATTGATTTTCTCAAAAAATTTAAGCGATGTCAAGATGGCAATCACATATGTGACAAAACTAATTATTCTGAGTATTTCATTCGAAGAAACTTACTGCCTATCGCTGCGTACTTTGGAGATAATAAGCATCAAAATTCATGTATTTTGTAAATTCAAATTATAGTTTTGTACGAGTTAAATATATGAAAATGAGTTTTAAAATGGACTGTTTAGTAATAATAACGCAGGTTACACACCACTGTTAAGTATATATTCAAAAACATCTTGTTTTTACATTCAAAATGCTACATTTTTATGGATTATAGGTCCGCTGGCCAGAAATATGAAGCTTCGACGCGAGTTTGCCGGAATAACAATATGGCCGCCTTTCATGACGTATCATGACACGCTCTCGCACACGTCAGTATACAGCTAAATGTGATTGCGATTAGACGTGTTTCGTTTTCTGTACGCTTGGATAAATACCTCAGTTGTTAAATTGTTTGTTATATTATTGTTACTTGTTTTTGTTATTTTTTTAGAGTCTTTGGATTATTATAATTTAAAATTTTATGTTTGTTTAGCTCTCGTTGATTTTATTTTCGTTATTTTTTATTTTTGGTTTAAAATACCTTTGTTTTTGATAGGTACCTTTGTCTTTGATAGGTTTTTAACGTAGGTTTTGAAGTTTTTTTTTAATTGTTTTTTGTATTATCGTTTTCCACTCCTTGGATTTTACAATTCAATCATTTTTTGTTCATATCGACAAGAGATAGCTCTATTTTGCTTTTGTTGTTTTTTTTGTTTTTGGGACAAAATCACCTTGTCTTTGACTTGTCTTGTCTTTAAATATCCTTTTTGTAAAACAAATAGGTTGAATAGAGTTTCCTTAAAAATTATAGAACATGTCCGCATTTGTCACCAACTTAGATTTATATGTTGCTCTTAAATCTGGAGGTGGTTCAAAAAAATATTGATTTTCTTTTTAAAACTCTTACCGAACGCATTGGTGTTGAATTATCTTCCGAAGATTTAAGTATTATTAAATTATATTGTCGTAATTTTTCAAGTAATGTCTCAAAAAGATGGTCTGCTTCTAGCCGAACCCAAAAAACGTTTTTGAACAAAAATTCACACTGGTTAGAGTCTGAAATCGTTTGGCCAAAATGTAAGAATATTGATTTAAACAACATTTTCAGAGTTACCGAGGAAGAAGTTCCAATCATTGATACGCTAGTAGATAATCAAGCAAGTTGTAGTACTAGTAAAAAACCTTTTTTGGATTTATCTGATAAGCAAAAGAAAAGGCGTTCTCTCACACTTCTAGATTACACTGAGGAGGAACTTCTTTATGCTTTATGTTTTAAATTAAAAGAATCCAACAAAGCAATATTAGCATCTATAATAAAAGAACTTAGTCAAAATGAAGAAAAATGTGAAATCGTAAGTGACGTTTTATTCACTGTAAAAACTGTGAAAACTGTGAAACCGTGTTTACCTGATAATAAGGCGTTGGCGCTTGTCACGTCATTAAATCTGTCAAAATGGCAATATCTTAATTTGAGATCTATTCTTGCTTCAGATAATATTTTTGGTCTTCCGTCCTATCACAAGCTTCTGGACGCTAAAATAAGATGTTATCCTCCCGAGACAGACATTATTGTAACTGAATCTGAAGGTAGGATAAGACTTCAATCTCTTCTAGATTCAACTACTAATAGGATATTAAAAACAATTCAGCACAACTCTGCAGACAAAAAATCCTTAAAACTGATAAGCAAATGGGGTTTTGATGGGTCTTCTTCTCAAAGTAACTATAAACAAAAGTCAAAGTCCGATATAAAAATTGACGATTCCTCAGTATTTATGATTAGTTTGGTTCCGTTTCGTTTAGAAGAAGGTAGTGGTACTTTCTTATGGAAAAATCCTACCCCCTCATCAACAAACTACTGTCGTCCAATTGGTTTTATATTTGCCAAAGAATCAAATGATTTGATTAAGAAGGAGAGTGCTTCCATGGAGGAAGAAATACATAATCTTGTTCCTACAGTTGTAGACAATTTTGAGATAAGTCATGTTTTGTACATGACTATGATTGATGGGAAAATTTCCACTGTGATTTCCAACACTTCTTCTGCAGCTGTTTGTAATATTTGTAATACTCCACCTAGTAAAATGAATGACTTGGACTATGTATCCAAAAGACCCATCAGAGATGATATGTATAAATATGGTTTGTCTTCGCTCCATATGTGGATAAGATGCATGGAATGTATTTTACACATTTCCTACAATTTAGATTTTAAAAAGTGGTCGGCACGAAATGACGATAAATTGTTAAAAGAAATAAAAAAAAACTATAACCCAAGAAGAATTCAGGGAAAGAACTGGTTTATTGATTGACATAGTGAAACAGGGATTTGGCACAACCAATGACGGTAACACCGCACGAAGGTTTTTTGAAAATTTTGAAATATCTGCCGAAATAACGGGTATTCACCCTGATTTAATTAAAAGATTTGCAGTTATCTTACAAGTCATTTCATCTGGGCAATTGATTGACACAGGCCTTTTGAGAGCATATTGTAAAGAAACAGCAGTGCTCTATGTAAACTTATATTCATGGTATTATATGCCCTCAAGTATACATAAATTGCTGATACACGGTGCTGACATTTGTGAATCTTTCTCCTTTATTCCGATAGGCATGCTTTCAGAAGAAGCCTCCGAAGCAAGGAATAAGGATTTCCGGAATATTAGCATGGCACATACAAGAAATATCGGTAGAGCTGAGACTAATTTGGACATAATTCACAATTTTCTAATTAGCTCAGATCCTTATATCACACATATGAAGCCAAAGTTTGATCGTTTACATAAAAAACTTTTTCCAGAGGCTAGTGCGTTGATCTTGAATAATGAATTACTTTCAGTGGAAAACGAGGAAAAAGAAAACAGTGATCCAAACATTAATCTTTTAACCTAAAATTTTTTATGTATCTTTCGAAGTGAATATGAATAATTTGAATTTTTTGTCTTCCTCTTAATAGTGTTTTCCATAACTAATGGTACTTCTCGTTCTGAAAGGTCGTATATAAAAGGATGTTTAACTGCTTCTACCCGATCCTCCTGCCTGCCTGCCTGTCTGAGGTTTAAGTGACAGTGAGACCCACCGCTTCAGAACATTTTTTTTATGTATTTGACAAAAGAATATAATTGGCGTACATTATAAGTGCTAAAGTTATTTTAAGATTCGAAAAACGGCACATATAAAATAAAAAAAAAATGTTTCTTCTACCTCGAAAATCTCGGAAGTACGCAGCGATAGGCAGTAAGTTTCTTCGAATGAAATACTCAGAATAATTAGTTTTGTCACATATGTGATTGCCATCTTGACATCGCTTAAATTTTTTGAGAAAATCAATAAAATGTAATTTCTCCCATACAAAAAAAACGAAATATTTTTTTTACCGAAAAGTATATGTGTCAGGGTAATAATATTTTTTTGCCTTATATGTTATCACTGTGTCAACGTTCAAAAAAATTTTCGTCGCTGTAGCTTCAATGTACATGTTTTATTTTTTCGGGACCACTGTGCGTCGCTTTGACGTCACGGCACTCTGAAATGATATCGTTCTATGTATGCATAAGGTTGAATTCTCTAAGTTCTGATATGAGTAAGGCAGCAAGCACAAAATATTTGTTTTTTCATAATTACTATTAGAACACTACCAGAAAAAATATTATTTATTTATTTTCGTTTACTGGCTACAACCATATTGTGAACTAGTGGCCGCCAGCGACTTCGTCCGCGTTTTCCATTATTTCTTCGCTCCTAATAGTTGCATCGTGATGTTAGCCTAAAGCCTTCCTCGATAAATGGTCTATTCAACACAAAAAGAATTTTTCAATTCGAACCAGTAGTTCCTGGGATTAGCGCGTTCAAACAAACAAAGAAACAAACTCTTTAGCTTAATAATATTAGTGTAAATAAAAAAAATTTAAATTTCTACTACGCTTACTAGTCTGTGGATAACATATGACGTTTATGAAAACTATTATCTATATATGCTGGTGCTGCACTCTGGTAAGAGAAAGATGCATTAACACGACCTCTCACCCCCATCAGGTGTAAAACAGGAGACTCATACTAGAGAGCGTCACAACTCCAACAGGCACAACTCGACGAGTGAAGACGCCACGCCGAGGACGTATGTGCCGGCGCAGTTCGAAAACTCACTTGGAAAGTTGCAGGTAATTATGTGATAATATAATAGGGATGATGACTGCGTAAAAAAAATGCAATTCTATTTAGTCCGTCAGTCAGATAATAGAAAAATATTAGATACGTAATTTTTTTTACTTCAATTTAACTGGAAATAGTATAGATAACAGGCATTAAAGTTGCGGAGTGTGGGCTCGCTACGTCACAGTAGAGTAGAAAACGTACCCTAACGTGACGTCATGCGAAATTTCAACTCCATGTAACGTCGTAATTTTATGAATACGAAAAAAAAATAAAGTTAATAAATAATGTTTAATATTTTTTAACAGTCTACCTGACGGACAAACAAACAAAAATTAGTCATCATCCCTATTGTTTACGTGTACTTTTTTAACCTTATATGATGAACTATGTATGTAGTTGATGAAACGAAACGTAGCAAGAAACCATTGCTCGGACTTGTTGAATATAATTAACAGCTTGCAATTTTTTTCCTAGCCTTATTTTAAGAATTAATTATGCACTATGAAATATGTTAAAAATAAGCTTTATTTCGAGATATATCACATCACTAGTCGCGTTTGTTAATTTTAATATCCGAATTGGACATGATTCTTCGTGCACAGATTTAAAACTTTTTTTTTGGTTAGATAGATATCATATTAAATAATATTAGCTTTCCGCCAGCGGCTTCGCTCGCGTGGTCTTGTATTATACATAAAAACCTTCCTTTTGAATCACCTTGTCTATGAAAAAAACCGCATCAAAATCCGTTGCGCAGTTTTAAAGATTTAAGCATACATACATACGGATATAGGGCAGAGAAAGCGACTTTGTTTTGTACTATGTAGTGATAAATTGTACATTATATGCTGTTACAGTGTGGTAGTGTGACGGCGCCCCGTAAAATCATCGACGTAGAAGTAGTACCGGCCGATACCCGCCCCCCCTCGCGGGCCGCGAGCAGGGCCAGTACTACCAATCCCGCTGAAGTCAGTATTACTATGTAAACTTTAAATATATATCAAATATATAACTACTGGATATTTAGAGCAGAAAAACATTATATTTTTACAAAGAAATATCTTATATTCGTATAAATTGATTTAGGAACACTTTATTTATTACCATGGACTTTTATAAGGATTATTTTTCGAAAAACATAAATGTTTTTCCGCTCTAAAGATCAATATTGGTTTTGCGGGTTACTACGTGTTTGCTTTCTAGCAACCATATATAGTTTTCCCATGTAAATTATAGCACATATTATACGCGTATGATGTAGCTTCCTATATAGTATAGGATGGGATTTTTAAAATTGATCTGGTAGTTTTCATACAAACAAACAAATAATAAAATCTTTTCTGTAATATTGTAATAGTACAGATTATGTTTACTTTGGATAAAATAAAATTACATATTATTCATTTCATTTCTAATGAATCAGTTTCTTCTCGTCTCTATAATTTTTTAACATTCATTTTTAATTAATGAAAATTTTTTCAAAGGTTCACCATTTTTTAAAAAAGTTCATTTATCTAATTTATTAATTATCTCGTAAGAATCTTAAAAAACGTAGGAAAATAAATTTTGAAATATTATTTTGAAACATACTCCAATTAATCACAAAACATTACCATTACCATTTACATGCAATTTTTATCGCATAATTTGCACAGGGAAATTGTTAAGCTTAGCCACTGTGAAACGTGACGGAGTTTAGACAGTTAAAAATAACAGTAATATATGTTTTTTATATTTGATCCTTAGGTGCCGAGAGAATTGAAGCGGACGAAACAGCTGTTACTTGATATTGAATCGCTTTATGTTATACTGCTGAGGCTCGAAGAGTTGAACGACCCGTTGGCGATCTCCAACGCGCTTATATTGAAGGTGTTTATAAGACTATATTATCTGTACATTGACACCGTAAATTTATAGAGTGTAAATCGAATAAGTATCAAACAAAATGTAATATAATCTATTGATATCAGCACAGCACTAACTACCTTGAACAGGAAGGAAATTCTAAAAAAAGGTAGATTTGCATATTTGTGAGATTCCCTAATGTGATGTAACATATTTTTAATATTATTTATTTGTATTTTTTATATAAGAGTCTTTCGTAAGGGCTGGTTATAGACTGGATTATCAAAAATTGACTGGTCTTTGAAAGGCATGTTAAGTTATTTGTCTCAGCTGCATCTGCTGTCTTCCTATTTGATTCCATCAATAGGGAAAGCTTGTAATTAAATTTAAATAGTAAATTATTATTATCAATAATAAATTAGAATTAGGACAGTAATAGACTGATAATCGCTTGTAGACTAGTATATGAATTATTTTTTTCCGTTTAGGAAAGAGAAGAGAAGCAGAAGCAGTTGGAAGCAGCACAGAAGGAGTTGGAAGATCAAGAGGAAGACTCCAATCTCTTTTTGAAAAACATAGAATCCGTGCAGAGGAGGCCCAAACAGGAGAGTCCTAAGAGCGAAACCATAGATAAGAGACAGGTGATGTATACTTGTTTTTAGAGCAGGAACGCACTAGCGATTTTTAAGTCTGATCGCTATCATTTGAGGCCGTTTAACATATCTGCCAACTAAAAATCTTTAAAGCTTTACTGGTCTCAACTGTGGTATGAAATTATGTGGTTATATTTTCTGGGTTAATAAACAAGTATTTCACAGTGTTTTATCTTGGGGTGGAACAGTCCCTTACAAGTGACAGCTGTCATTTTTACTAGCGCCATCGATCGGCAAACCTTGTAAACTGGAACATCAATAGTGATGTAGTCAGGCAACCAAACCTATTGTTCGGTTTGAAGTTGCTAAGCAACACAATTGTTGACTTCAAAGGAAATATCCAAAATATATTTTGATTTCATTCATGGTCTACTTTATATAAGTTTTAGAAGAAAAATATTTCGATAATAAAAGCCCTAACGAAAGTTAATTGTAATTGTGATACTTGGTGCGTAAACGTTGAAGTCTTGCTTGTTATGAAGAAACTGGTAAAGCGTTGTAAAGTGCACTACATAGACAGTTTGATAGAAGAACAGAAAGAAGAAAATATGGTTGTTGAATTGGATTATTGGAAAAATAATGTAGTCATATATTATGAAATGACCTACATCGCATTGAGACAGTCATGCCATCTAACGGACATCCCGTTAAACCTATATCTCTAAACGTACAAAGCACGACAAAAAAATTGGAGATTAGGCTCTCTTTTCCCTAATATATACTTTTACTCTTTGGTTTTATCTTTAACACATTTCCATTCATAATAAGAAAAAAGTAGTCCTCACTGAGTTTCTTGTTGGTTGTTCATATGGCATAGTATTCGATTTTCACTAGCCCTTGTAACAGCCTCGAGTGGATAGAAAATATTGCATTTCGAATTCAATATTGATATATTTGTTGGCAGGTGGTAAACTTAGCAGTATGTCAGAAACCACCCGTGAAGAATTTACTGGATGAAGACAAAGACGAACTCATGGGGAAAATGTTCTCCGGACTGTTGCATGGGGACAGGTTGCCACAGGCGCTCACTGTTAGAAAGGGACGGGTGAGTCAAATATATTATGATTGTATAGTTTTTTTGATTGTAACAAATCTGTTAATAGCTCATTGAGCTATTAACAGATTATTGCGCAGTGATTCTGTGGTTTGGTTTGCAATACGGTTAAAATTTTAAATACATTTGTTTCAATATAGTTAATTATTATAGTAGCTAAGTTCTTGACGAGTTAAATCAGCACGGGATCTATTCCATAAAAATCCGAACCAATTAACAAGAATGCTTAGTAAGAATTATCTTATCTAATCAGGGGTCGGAAACCGGTATATTTTTCGAAACGTTTTAAATACCTAAAAAACACTTTGTTTCGGTTTCGTTCGAACAGAACGATATAAAAAACGATTTTGGAAAAAAACAGAATTATATTGTTTTCGGTTGATAAAACGTTTTTAACCATTTATTTTGCGTTTTTTTGCATCGCATACTGTAAATAACGTAATAAAATAAATGTACGCCGCCCTTACAGTCCGCGCGGCACCGTCTTGCGGATTAAACCGGTTTTTTAAAGCGTTCTCATTTCGTTTTCGTTTCGAACGCAATCTTGCCCAAAGAACCATAAGAAACGGTTTAAAAAAGTTATTTTGAATAACGTTTCCGAGCCCTGTATCTAATACACTTTAGCCTTTAAAGTTCCAACCATGGTTCTAACTAATGGCGAATGGTGAGTCTTCGGTTCAACAGTGTAGATCTACCAATTCCGACAATGGCCCACCGATTAAAACTTATAATGACACTTGTTTTAATAGCCATAAGATATTAAATACAACGCATTCAGTGTTCGTCTAACTCGCACTAGCTCGCACAAATCCAAACCCCAATTCGAATTTCACTCAGGTGTAAGAATTCACTTAAAAAAGCGGCATCCGTTCAAACCTTAAAATTGGTAATAACGTTTCGTGGCATAAGTGAAGCGAGTTTCGAAATGACATAGGAATAGAATATATGAGACACGTATATTCAATCAATTTTGTTTTGTATTTTTATACAAAAAATGGTAAAGATCGAATTTCTACACTAAATTATGTGAATTCAGACACACGAGGGAATTCGAATTCAGGGTCTGGAATATTACAATATCCCTGGGCTGGGCCTATTCTCCCAATTTGATTCGATCCAGTTCCACTTCGACATTCTGGTGTAATGGTTATTAGTACGATTAGTAAATAATTGGATGTTGGACTCAAAAAGGATCACACCCACAAATTGGTCGAAAATGAGTTAAGTATACCAAAATGTCCATCAGGATCTATACTTTCATATAGGAAAAAAGGTCTGAGCTGTATTTAATTTTTGAAGTTTTTTTCAATGGTCTCGACTCAAGCTTCTTGGATCCATATAGCAAATTAGCCAATTAAAGGCACTAATCTCGGTTAAAAATCATAAAGATTCAAAATGCTTGAATCATTTTTGTTAAAAGGTCATTTTATTATGGGAATACTTTTGACATTAAATGACTCAAGCTTCTTGGATCCATATAGCAAATTAAAGGCACTAATCTCGGTTAAAAATCATAAAGATTTAAAATGCTTGAATCAATTTTGTTAAAAGGTCATTTTATTATGGGAATACTTTTGCCATTAAAAGTTAAAACAATAAATATAAAGAAACATTACTAAATAGTTTTTACAATAAAATTTTGGCGTTTCAGTTAATATTTGTATTATTTCTACATATGTATCATTTTTGAGTTTTTTTTGTAAGAATAAGGTAATGAGAACCTAAATATATCAAAAAGGATCCAAACATACTTTAACCTTTATATTTTAATAAATATTGTTAGTTCTGTTAAAATGACATTATAATAAGATAATGTAAGTGGTTTTCTATGCTATTAGATAAAAATATAATACACAAAAATGTTACATCAACATGGAAATACAGCTTAATATTCAATCGTCTATATCTCAAAAGTGTTATTATGTGGGTTGGATCCTTTTTGGTTAACTACGTCCAATTGTGTCTGATATATTTATTTATTTGTATATTTTTTTATATGTTTGTTTATGGCCCATACTCCTTAACCATCCATAAGAAAGGCCTGAGCCCCAGCAGTGGGGATGTAAAAGGGCTACTGCTGCTGCTGATGATGATGATGATGATGATAATGATGATGATGATATGTTTGTTTCAGACGTTGGTATCGCGATTTCTAGCTAGAGTACCACCGACGCATCCGCGCCTGAGGAGCATGTGGTCCAGAATACTCAGGTGTATCACTGCGGCCGCCAGGAGGGACGACGGTACCCTTGTCACATTAGCACCGCATTATAGGAGGTCAGTTTATTTATAAATATACTGTTCAAGAATTACTCTATACTAATATTATAAAGAAGAAACATTTGATTTGTTTGTTTGTTTTTTTGCTCCGAAACTACTAATTCGATTTTTACTAATTCTTTGACTTACATATAGCTACATTATATGGGATTAACATAGGTTATAATTCACGCGTGCGAAGTCGCGAGAAAACGTCTAGTTAGGTATACATGTTAATATAGCAGATTAGAATTCGGGAATTCCTATTATCTAAGCCATTTCTTGTTACATTGAAGCAAAAAGGGCATCTAATATTTTTCTATCGTCTGACTAAGGGACTAAATAGAGTTACATTGTTTTTTACCCAGACATCGTCCCTATTGGCTAGATGCACCTGTGCGGGCGCAATGGCAATAAGTTTGCGCCTAATGCCAGAGAGAGATGTCTTATGCCAGGTCATTGTTCGAATTTCTTTCAGTTCGGCGAATGTTATAGTTGCAAATTAACTGTTATGTCATTGAGTTACTTATATTTGATATATTACTTGTCAGGTATATCCAAGGTACTACAGGTTGGTCTGCGGTATTAGAATCGTGCAGTATGTTGGCGGAAGCTTTCGATCCTGCTCGCACACCGTACGCTCTCACTTCCTCGGTAAGTTGAATATGATATATCCACAATGATAATATATTTTTTTTTAAATATATGTACAAATATGTGATAAAGGCCTATAATTTAAATTAACATCTTATTGTCTTTGACCTAGAATTTTTCGAAAATAGGAAAATGTTGGTTGTAACTGCTCGCATTTACCACGTATCTAACTACATTATCTTTGATTTACATAAACTTCTAATTAGTTGACATTGGATTTGATTAAATCTCTTCAATGTTCAATTCTCTATGTTCAGTACATCAGTATAGAGTGAGCGATGGCACATAGCACTCATAGCTAATTGAGTTAAGTGTATCCTGAAATTCTTACTTGTTTTGGCCTAGCGCAACCTTTAGAGTCCGAAGAGAAAAAACCTACTATTAACAAAAATTTCATAGTTTCGAAAGAGCCAAAAATTTCATTTTGCTATCACTCAAACTTCTATTAGTTATTGTATTTAAAATAAACGACTTTAAATATTTATCTTGCTGTCGTTACCTATGGATTAATTACATAATTTAAAGAGTTATCGAGATTAAAATACTTTTTTGTAAATGGAACTTGAGAGTCGCAATTTCACCTCGACAGAGACAAACCAGTCTGGCCTGTGACATGTCACTACATTTTTTCCATATTTTGCACCAACAGTTCACTTTGTCCTGCGTCTGTGCGTTAGTGGAAAGAGCCACGTGTCTAGTGAACACACCAGAAGCCACTTCCAACGAACGGCAATGGTCCAAGTTTCTAAAAACACTGGCCAGAGCGTTGAAGAATACCACGCTCAACGTAGCGAAACCGTTACACCCGATGCAGGAAAACAAACTGATGCATCATATAAAGCAGCTGGAGTCCAGATCCACTATAGAGATATTGCAGAGGGGGAAAAGTGCCACTGAGTTTGCTGACGTCACCAAGACGGATGTGCAAGAGCAGCTGATCAAGCATTTGTGTTGATTGGCCGCGATGTGAGCCGATACCGGCGGTTTACATTCGCCGATGTTGGCCAATGTTGGTCGGCCAATCTTGGCCGGTGTAACTGTGTATTTGTAGCCTTTTTTTCACGTTGATCCGACCGGCATTGGAAGCAAATATTGACTGACTGTTTCACGTTCCTTTGACTAGTTCGAGATCGTTGAAGGTTTTTTAATTGTTACGGGAATAGGCTAACAATTACCATGGCCGATATTTGACGAAGTTGAATGTGACAATGCATTGTAGCATTTATTTCAATATTTGTTACGATGTTGGCGTATTGGCCAATATGGCGGCTTGTGTTGTATTCTGGATTGTCAGCGCAAGTATTGGAAGACATATTTGTTAATTTTGATACGCCCTTTTCGCGAAGTAACAAAGTGATAGGTCCATGCAAATATTTGCGCCCACAATACATGTTGTAGGAATACGGTAGGCAAATGAATGTAAAAAATACCTCAGAAATGTAAGTATGTAGATCAATTTTTCATCATAAATCGATTTGTTATATGGTTCGAATGATCGGTTTCATGTTTTTTTTTTTTTATATAAAAGAAGCAATAATTATGCATTTGCCTATGACCAATGTAAATTCTAATTTGACTTAAAAAGTTGTAGATAAAAAAATTGTGATTTTTTTTTCTAATTTATGTACTTGGCCTGGGCATTTATGTTGGCGAAACGAGAGCAAATGTGTGATCCAACGTTTGGTTTGGCCAGTGTTTAAATGATAATCACTATGACGTACACTGTATAAAGTTTTAAAATAATACAATAAAATAACAAAAAAAGCAACCGCCATTTTGTTTTTGTGACGTCATTTTCGAACGGTTATATTTTTGGAGTTCGAAAATACGTCCTTCAATATCAACTATTCAGTTTTTTTTTTTTAATTTTAGCAGATTTAAAAACAAGATGGCAGTTGAATATTCTGGTATGCAATGCATTATTCTCATTTTCAATTGTATATCTGTTATGTATATTTAGACTGTGGTACACATGCTTGTATGTAATATATTTTAATATAAGCCAATGCAATCGAGTTATGTCTTTTGCTTTTTTTTTTCAATCAATAATATTTAAAACGTTATATAATTTTACTCTTAAAGTAAAAATATTATTACACATTATTATTTTATATTTATACATAAAAAAAATTGAAAACGCTAGGTAGTAACAAAATATTTTTAGTAATCAAAGAAACGCTTAAATGAAAATTTCGATATTTTAAATTCCTGCAGTTAACCGATAATTAAATTGCTCGAATTCATTAACACTGATTATAAAAAAAAAGTATATCACTAATCAAAGTCATTCTGATATTAATTTTTTATAGAATGACAAAATTTGCTTTTTGAAATAAATAAGATTGAGTATACCGATACCGGTCAGGGTTGCCAGAAGATTATTAAAAAAGCTACCATCACAATTAAGAAAAAGTAACTGGCAGCACTAAGATGAGTAACTTAAGCAAGATATTTACTTTTTCATTTATTCGTGTAAATATTAAGAACAGAATATACAATAAAAAAGTTTTATCCATCTAGATTAGTTGCATTTTTTTTAATTTAAAAAGAAAATTATAACACTGCTTTTTTAATTAAAACGAAAATAATTTTGTTATTTAATATAAAATGAGAAATTACATTAAAAGAATCCACTGAATCTAACTTTATGGAAGCTGATATGTTTTGAATTCCATATAGAGTTCTTGGATTAACATTTTACGTGAGAATCGATCTTTCTGTTGTTGTATTTTACATTTTTTTTTAAATACTTTTTAGTCTGTGATCGGTGTTTTCATTTTACATTAAAATTGTCTATGGTTTTTTAAGGTTTGATCTCTATGTTATGGAAATATCGATTCTCATTTTCAAAATCACATAACAACATTTGTTTCAAAGTCATGTGAATTTGAGTTTAAGTGATTAAATGAGATATTTAAAAGTGTTTGGCGGTTTTTTGATTATATATTTTTTTTAATTTTCGGAAAAAGACTTTCTTTTGACGGTGGTCCAATTGATGTTATATTTATTGCTTTCAGTTCTAAAACGTGTCAAATTTCTCCAATCGATTTTGACTCTTAATTAGTTAGCATAAAGTTCAAATCGTTCGTCATTACGTTTAAATAAGATCTCCTTAAAAGCTAAAGGTTCCACATCAGTTATTATAGCCCTTATCGGCACATCAGAACTGAAGATAAGAAAAATATATGCCTTAACTGAAGAATATAAGGCATATATTTTTCTTATTATTTAATTTTTAAGTAATACATATTAAAAAGAAAAGACAATTGCAATAGTATAACTCAAACCAGAATGAAATTTAGTGAATCCAACCATTCATCAGGAATAATTTTGACCTTATCTGGCAATCGTGGTACGTCATTAAACAATTGCATCAAAAGGACCTCCGTTGTAAGATTTGTGTGATGGTCGTATTATAATAATTTTCTCTGTTGAACTGAGTATCCTTTTTGCAATATTTTGTTGTCGTGTTGTCATTTATATAGGGTTATTAGTAAATTATCAACATCGCAGTACAAGATTGCGGTCTTCTGTTGTGGCACACCTAATTAATTTGCTTGGGTGGATGACGGGCTGTTTTCGGCTGTGAGTATTTCCAGTAGTCTGTCTGAATTCAAAAAAGGAGGAGACTTCTAATTCGAATGTTTTTGTATTCCACAAAACTGAGGTGAATTATTGGCTCCTGGTCCATGTAAACTAAGCAGGTGTACTACGACTGAAGACCGTTAGATTGCTAACATATTATCAGCATCGCTTGTTTTATTACTTTTGACATCTCGTTACGTTATGCTTTTACACAGGTGTGGACAATGATGTATTAAAAAAGGTAAAATGGATTATCTGCGCACAACATTGACAACAAGAAAGCAAAGCGTCATGGTTAATGTTATTTTCACTCGTATTTTTCGGTTAAAAGTTGTAGAAAAAAAGGCCTTCCTGCTTGTTTAAACAATGCACAAATTACACATTAACAATGAGAAAAGCAAAGAAGTACTGTACTCATTCGTTATTTCAATATAAATATAATAACAGCGGCCATTTTTTCGTGCATCGTTTTCTACGACTAGGGGAGATTGGAGTTGACACGTAAATCTAAGCGAGTATGTTTATCTCGTTCTGACAAGAGGTATGTTGTATGATTCTAATAAGGAGATAACTATTTTTTATTTTTTCGCGCCTTTTGTTATTTTATTATAGTGTAACCCTACCACAATGAAGTTAACGCCGTTTTAAAACACAATAATGTACGGGTATGACGTATCTAATAATAAAACAACATTGGGTATGAATTTAATTTACCTTTTGATTGTTAATAACTCTAAGCGCATCACCACACTACGGCAACACGCGAGCGCAGCGTCGGCCTTTTCATTTATGAATGAAACATAGATCTATAAATGTCACGACAGTACAATAAAAACGAGAACAATCATTTTTGTGTAAAGTATTGAGTTACGTTAAAACTAGTGATCTAACGCCTTTTTTATTATGTTAGCTATTGGGTACTGCGAATTTGATGGTGTTTAATAAATAACCCTGTATAAGTATTTATCTACGTAATTGGAAGTGGCATTGTTGACATTCACTTAAATACAAATACAAAAGTTGTAACAATAAAGGGCATAGCACCAACTTTATTAGTTACACAAAAATGTAAAAAACCACGCCAAAGCATCGTGTCTTTGTATGTGGCTAAGTAAACATTTCAATTAGTTAATAAAAAAACATTTGTTAATCAAACTATTGTTTAAGACATACGTCTTATATTAAAATTCATATAAAGTTTTCAGTGATTTAATGTACCTATTACATTATTTTGATATGCTAAATATCGTATACTTTTTTTTTTTAATGTAGGATAATTGTTTTTATTTGACGACATATTTTCCTCAGGGGTACTCCGCCTTTTAATATCATATTTTTTAATAAATATAAACTGTGCTGAAATAAAATAAGCAAATATTTTCACTATTAATTTGGTTTTGATTTGTCTAACTAATACTTTTGTGTCATAGTACAGTCGACGATAAAAGTCGTATTAAATAAATATTAGAAAACTATGTTAAATTTGTTTTTGGTAATACAGAAAATAGTAATAGCACAACAAGTCATCCACTAAAGAAAAAATTGTCATAGATATTGAAATTGGCTGTGTTTAATAAGAGAACCGTCTGTTTTATTAAGACTAAATGTACGTAATTAAAATTTTAAAAACTGTAACTATTTTAATAATTTTGCTAACTAGGTACTTTTATATATCATTAGGACATCAAGATGTCTTTCCCAAAATTATTTACCGGTTCTGCTAATGTTAAAGTAACAATGGGACTGCAATAATTATATGAATTTAAGTTTTGGACTATACGATGTTTTGATGAGCTTCGACTCTGCGAGAATCATTGGGAGAAAGATACTTTATTTAATTTGATGTAAAAGTTTCCGAACAACATAAATATCACATTAATTTAAAGAAAATATAAAGTCCCTTAATCTTGCCCCTTAAATTAGTACTATCAGGCACAAAAGTATTTTCCTTTTTTGAAAATTAAAGTTTGAGAAAGAAACTTGATGTAAACGAAAATCAACTGCCATTGAATCATATGTTACGCAAAGGTGTTTGTAAAGAAAACGCATTTCTAATAAAATAACAATTTTATTTGGCGTTTAGTGACTGAAGGAGTATAGTTTCCTTATTTACTATTAGAAGTTTTTTTATCCATAAAATAAATAGATTTTGTTTATAGTAAAAATTGAGTTTTAATTACATTTGATTCTCCTTTTTATTGACGTGTCAAGTGTGTCGTGTCAACTGTTGTATTAAATCGAAAACTTAAGTAGATAATAAAATTACCCTTTTTTGACCATTCTGAGACGTTATCGTTTCGCCATAGAAATGTTACAAAAATTGTGCAGTCATCAGTGAAGTTTATTATTAATAGTAGTTTGTTTATCTATCTGAGGTAGTCAACCGTACTCTAAAATAGAGTATTGTAATCTTTATCATGTAGGGGTACCCTATAATCTAAACAACAATTATATAACAAGGTACCACACCTTTGAATGAAAAGATATTAATCTCGTTTGTTTCCCGCCTACTTAACGAGATGGCGCTGTTATTGTTTCTTACACACAGTTACACAAACGAACTTTAAAGTTTAATGGCGATTTTAAGCTAATAAATATTCTACATTTGAAAAATTGTTTTGTAGAATTGTCATAGAACTATCAAAAAATTTCACTTAGTTTAAAAATTGCAATTCTATGAGAAACTTGATAACTTCAATTCTTGCAATAAGTTGAATACTGTTTCTACTAGCTTGTATTTCATGTTGAATGTCGCCCTTCTGGCGTCCACGGAGCCGTATGACATGTTTAGAGTGAACAGATCTGGATAGAACTGAAAAAGCAGATAGCATATTTGTATTCTTTAACAAATATTTTTCGTAGTTGATGTGCGTTCTTAGAATTAAAATAAATTTTAGCAAATAGCATATTATTAGCACATAAATTATTAAGAATTAGCGCTTATTTTCACTACTAGCACTCACCGGGAAGCCCATCATAGGTTCAGTATTGAATTCTTGCGTCATCTCGTTGCATTTGAGCACGGACGTCCGCTGCGGCGTCACGTGCAACAGCTGAAGTTTGCCCTAGAAATTGAAAACAAAAAACAATTATATAAAAGTAGGTACACTGCTAAGGTGATGTCAGAAGCCATAAAAACCTTTGATGCTTGGATGAAAAGACAAGATTATCCAGAATAAAGTTGTGATAACTTTATTAGCGATTACACAAAGGTTATGAAGCTATATGAACTGCTGTAATTTCATTTACTTATAAGTGGCTTGTGTGCTGGCTGGGTCAGACCTGTCTTATGTGGGGTTGGACCTGGTAGGCTCCTTGCCGGGTCCTCCCCTCCCCCCACCCCGAGGGTCTCCTATTGAATGAGGGATAATGGCGGATCTCCTATTGAATTAAACTACTGGAACTCTAGCTCCAAGAAAAAAATATTTTTTTTAGCGCCATCTATTAGTCTCTTTCCGACCATATACACAAAAAATATAGCTCTGGTTAAGTTTAATGGTATTATAATAATATTATCATCTTATCTATTTATATTTTAGTTAGAAATAGCAAAATATGGCTCACTTCGCGTTTCTTGTCAACCGCTTCGCGAAATTGCATTACGATATTCCGAGTGCCAGCTGCTGCGTTCCATCTAGGATAAATATAATTTTAGTATTAAGTTTATCTATTTATATATATTAGTAATGGTAAATTAAACCTATTTAATGCACTAAAATTACAAAAAAATAAAACAAAAACAAATATATGCCATTAAATATTCCTTACTTTGTATTCGCAATGTAATATCGATATTTATATAAGCATTTAGTCGTTGTAAACAAAAATAACTCCCATTCCGGTCGTTTGTAAAAAGACTAAATATTTTATTTATTCCTTTCCAATTCCAATACCCAAAATGTCTTAAGGGTTTCAAACATTCTGAACTGAAATGTATTTTATACGTACTGTAGAAAAAGGGAACTGGATTTGTTCCCTTCGATTTCTTCGTATATGACTGTAATCTATTCGAATACTTACCTACTCCATTGAAAGTTGTATGCCCTGGAGAGGAATGCCATCGCGTGGTAGTTGTGCCGCTCCGCTACCCACTCTTTGGCACAGCTGCCCTCCACGTGGTTGTAGGCGTCGAAATCAGGGAAGAAATCGCACGCAGCTTCTCGCATTATCTGTACAGAATCGCGTCTTTAATGTAAGGTGACAGGTAAACAACAGCATAGAGCATTCTAAGGACAATATTCAGTGCCAGATAAGTAAATAGCAAAATAAGCAATTTCGCTTACGGTATCTCATCTTAGGGGATTCTAGAAATAGCGCCGATGAGGATTTTTTAAGGCATCAAGTATTTTCAATGCGGCTCTGATAAAATCGTATTGTCAATTAGTAAATCACTAATAAAATTAAACTTCTAACTGTACGCAAAAATAAGGTAACCAGCACGTGTAGCATGACAAACTCGAGAAACGCTTTGTCTACACTCATTTGTCAGTTTCTCGGGTCGAGAGTGTGATATCGTATGGGTGCACCCGAGAAAAGTGACATTTGAGTGTAGGCAAAACGTTCTCGAGTTCGTCATGCTACGCGTGCAGGGGTGCAACCGCCTGACTCATGGTCGTAGCCGTAGCCGTAGTCGTAGCTTTAATCAAACACAAGCCGAAAGAATACTTATTGAGAATGAACGACTAACTTGTTATGTTTCAAAGTTTGCTGCAAGTATTATTGCTGGACAAAAAAGTCACTTATACAATTACAAAAAAACAGCAATTTTAGTTTGTATGAAATTAAGTCCGCACCATGCTGAAAATTTTCAATAAAGAATAAATAATTCTAAATAATCATCACATACATTGCGTAGATGCTAAAGCTCTTTTCAGAAACAACAAAGACAAAGTTACTACAACATCCAGCCCTGAATCAATATGGAAAAGTTCATTTTCTACATTCACCCGACTGGAAATCGAATCCGGGGCTTCGCAGATGTAGACACCTTGAGATCGGCATATGAACCACTCGGCTACAGATAAATATAATGAAAGATGCAGCGTGAAAAGATAAACCGTGACCTGCGCCATCCTTTTAACGCTGAACGGCTTATTGTAGTGCTCCTTCAGTGCCGACGTGGGTGCGTTGGCTATCCACTTCAGTCTGACCGTGGACCCGAGACACAACCACGTGACAGTCACGCAAACACCGGTCACGGTCACCAGCACGCCTTTGCTGATCAAATAACATCATTACCATCAGCCCTTTTATGTCCCCACTGCAGGGGCTCGGGACTTCCTTATGGTTGGTTAAGGAGGATGGGCCATGACCCTCCCCGCTGGCCCAATGCAGATTGGGCGGTATTAACCACTGCAAATACAGCCAGGACAAACGGCTTAAAGTACCTTCCGAAGCACGGAGTAGATCGAGATAATAATTATTTGGTCACCCATCCCGTGACCGACCCTTGCGAAAGTTGCTTAAAGACAACAATTGCGGGCCGCGGCGCTTATCTACTACGCCACCGAGCTATCGATGAAGATCATCATCACCAGTCTATTAATGTTCCCGCGGTTGATGCACAAGCTTTCCTTATGGATGGAATCGAATAGGGAGATGCCTACTGTACCTGCACGCGAAACATTTATTATAAAACAATTTAGGATTTAAAACTTTACTGTATTGTAATACTACGGTGTTACAATTACAAACTCAAGACTAATATGTATAGCGCGGTCGCTGAACAAAAGAATTTCGTACAATGACCCGACACTACATATCTCTTTCACTTGTGCGCAACTATATTGCTATTGCGCTCGCACAGATGCATCTAGCCAATTATGTAATAGTAAAGTGTATACGTTATCTATAGCAGTAGGCACAGATGTCAACGTACGGAATTGTTTCTGTGCAGCGACCGTACTATAGGCTTAATAGTAAATAGGTTGACAGGGATGCCCGATTTGAATCAAAATTTTAGAAGATATCGGGCATCCCTAGAATTTGATGCGCGCTCCGCCGTGGTGTTGTATCGGGAATTGGCTAGCGCCGGACTCGCGCTAGAGGTGGCCGTATATACGATTGGCACTAAGCATTCTCGTTTTAATAATACTAAATTTTAATTCAATCGAGATAGACAGACAAACTATCGTCTTACCATAGGGTCAGGATACCGTTTGTCCTTTTTCTTGGCAGGCAACCTTAAAAATGTAATAGATCAATTATTTGCATACCCCTGTGGATCTGGCTTCATGTCCCAACCCTGGTACGGCAGGTTTCCGTACCTTAACGCTGCTATTCCTATTGGCCCTGCGACGACATAAAATAACACGTAAGTATTTATACAGGGTTATTTGTATACACCAGCATCCTTACGGATTACATAGCTAACATAAAATAACAATACTGTTGTCTACGAGTTTTAATATAATGATGGAAAATTTTCATGAAACTGATTTCGGGATGGGTATATGTGAAACTAATTCCGTAATTATGTCAACATCTAAACTTTACTATGCGCAGATGGTGTCGCGTCACTAATTTCACCATGTAAATTTTAAACAAATGTTATGACATCTAAAAACGGATCTTTTAATTATCTATTGTATTAGCTGAACATTTTTTGCTTGTATTATTGTATTGTATGTTACTGATTGTTCTAAATAAATAAATGAAAGTGATTTTAGTGGCGTGAAAGTTGTGTCATCAAAAATAGGCGCATCGCACGAAACTGCTTTAGTGTCATGAAACTAATACATGCGTTGGTAAAGTGCACGTTTGCACGTGCAACTGCTAGCCAAATTAATGCAATAAAAGTAGTTTCATGCTACAAATAATATTTTTTTTTTTATAAAAGTGGCTTTCCTTGTAATGAGTTTTAATTGTATTGTTGTAACATTATGCTTGCTATCGACAGTTAAGCATGGACTGTAGATTTATTAAACACTATAGCAGGGCAAGACAGCAATAATATATATCACTATCAAGTCTCTGCCCCAGTTAAAAAAAAGTATATAAGCTGGTTATCTAGTTGCGTCCTGGGAGCAGAATTCTGAACAGAACGTGTTGTTGATCGAAAAAACCGACGTCTTTGAATGTGGCGCTGTCGAAAGATGCTCCGAGTACAAATAAATCTATTCTCGACCAGCTGAAGATTAAACCCAGACTGTCTACAATATTTATCGACAGATTCTTCGGTACTTTCTCCACATAGCTCGTAGGTAACCAGATAGTCTTGATAAACTGTTTTTGGTAGGCACGGTGAATGGAAAGAGACGATACGAGGGCGATCACTGACCCACTGGTCTGACTCTGTGAGAGCGATGATGGGGCTGACTGTAACCGAAGCGCTCCGATAAGCTGATGATAGCAAGGCGTGGAAGCATTTCAGGACGGGTACCTACTTTAGTGATGAAGTACACGAATAAGAAGAAGTCGAGTTGGAACAAAGGTCTACCGTAAGTACAACATAAAATAAGCTGCTCACATAGCACACCAGTTCTGAACTGTAATGTCAATTTGTCCTCGTTGAACTTGTAGTCGTTTACGTAGTTGCTGGTCCATAGCTTCCTCGGCTCCTGCCACTGGCATACCACTGGAGGCTCTGTCCACATCACGTCTTGCGGCAAACTGTTAATTGTGCACATACATAATATATAAAATTTCAATTTTTTTACATTATTCGTTTATTTGCAGGGCATTCAGGCAATTTTTCAACATTATTCGTTTATCTTCAGAAATACTGGAACGATTTAAAAAAAAATCTTTCACCTACGGCAATCTACATCATACGCGGGTGACATACATATGTTATAATTTTCGCTGGATAACAGCTAGTAGATAAATAAAACGTTTACTCTATAAACACCAGCGCCAATTTCTCGTATTCCGCTTCTGTTTTCTTGATCTCTTGTTCTATCTCCTCAGGGGTGCGGGTGACGCCCGGCGGCGGGGGAGAGGGGGCGCGGTACTGGACCTGATACTTCATCGGCTGTAACCGCTTCGGAAGCTGCACTAAGAAATGTTATTAGGCAGTTAGTAAGATAAAGCAAATAACAAAAATTCTCAGTCCCGAAATTAGACCTTTCGTCTTATGTAGCTTTCCGCCAGCGGCTTCGCTCGCGTGGTTTGTATTATCCATAAAAACACTCCTTTTGTTTCACCCTATCTATGAAAAGAAATCGCATCAAAATCCGTTGTGTTGTTTTAAAGATTTAAGCATACATACGGATATAGGAACAGAGAAAGCGACTTTGTTTTATACTATGTAGTGATACCAGATTACCAGACAGTTACCTAAATGAATAGATTAAGAACAATATAAATCAGGACTTTTAAACTCACAGCTATTAAAATTGAAATTCAAAGTTAAATTGTTAACATAAAGAAATGTCGTAGCCATCTGGGTAAAAGGTCCGTGCAATTAGGCGGCTAGCCCTATAAAAGAATAGCGGCATTCATTTGCACGGCCAAACGTCGAGCAGCTGAGTAACCATCGCAACGTCCCTCTACAGTGCGGCTAAACAAAGCCCAGGGAACTGGTTACCCGTCAAAGATCACAGATCCAAACGGATCAAGTATACGGAACACAATTATTAATTTAAGGTATAAATGAAAAATTATCCGCGATACTCGAATAAAATTACTTTTTCAATCAACTTCGAGGTCACTACAATAAAAAGCTACTAATGTAGAATATATTACAGTATTTTATCTCCGAAAACGTTAAAGCTATTCATCCGATTTGAAATACAGATGGAAAGAAAAAAAACAAATTTAATGTCTATTAAATTTTTTCGTACAAAACGATAACGCAGTTTAATTAAGAATGAACGCCATCTAGTATCACCATCATCAGCCCTTTTATGTCACGTTTGCAAAGGCTCAGGACTTCCTTATGGATCGGTTAAGGAAGATGGTCATGACCCTCCACGCTGGCTCAATACGGATTGGAGGGCATTTATGACTGCAAATGTAGCCGAGACAAACGGCATAAAATACCTTCCGGATTACGGAGTAGACATAGATGATAACTTTTTGGTCACACATCCCACGACCGACCCTTGTGAAAGTTGATTAACAATAACAATCACTACATCACCGAGCTACTCATAAGTATAGCAAAACTTAAAGTTCTTACTAATTTTTTTTTTGAAAACTCAACCTTGACCATAATAGTGCGACGTAGAAACTGGAAGAAGTATACTTAATGCCATCTAGTATAGTAACAAAATATGTAAAATGATTTGTACTGGAATATTTTCAAAAATATTTATTTAAAATGTTAATTTTGTTTCCCCATAAAAACTTTCACACGAGTTTTTATTCCTATAAATGCTAGTTTACAGGATAAAATATAACCTTATTACCTTTCTAGGGTCTTAAACTACCCAAATACAATTTTCATCGATATAGGTCCAAAAACAAAGAATTTTCATATATACTTTTTTGTTTCGTTTGTTACGCTTGGACATTATTTTTGTAATATTATATAAATTCAGATTAAAAATCTAGTCTGTGCTAGCGGAATAGCTACTAATACCTGACCAGTTAGCTCGTATATTAAGATTACACACCTAATAATAAATATTGGCATCGTAATGACATATAAGTATATCTAGATAAGATTATGTACTATCTATTGATAACTAATATACGTATTATCTATTAGTTGAAAATATTCATTCGGAAGTGGCAGTAAAGATAAAAATAATATTTTGCTCATAAAATTTAAAGTGAAAAGGTGATTTTAAAATATTTTCCAGTGACAGTGATATTAATAAGAAATGTTATGAATTCCATTTTCATATAATGAAGGAACCACAAAAGAAATGCGTGCTAGGTGGAAGATGGTAGCCATACTGTTTTTGGTGTAAGTATTTTTTACGTTGATTAAAAATAGTTTGATTAAACACAAGATGGTCTATACAAGATCTATGGTCTATTTCATCTAGATGGGTTGTTCCGTATTCACCCAATGATATCTCATCCTATATCTTCATTCGTTCCAAAATAATAGTTAGTTAGTACTACAAATAACTCAACCTATAGAATTATTATGAGTATATTTCTTAATTCAACCAAACGCAATATTTATTCATCCATACGCATTCATCCCGAAGCAAAAATTACTAAAAAAAAGTATGGATAACAGAAAAACGTTTAATATTTTTTGGAAAAGTATTATTTATACGATAGAAAACTAATGTTAGAACCGGAATAGTTAAAATAGAAGTTGTTTTTACCAAAAAATTATTAATAATTATAATTATTAATTATAATAGGTATAGAATGTATAACAGGTTACTTCATTAATCTGTGGCATCTTAAAATAGGAGGATCCTGTAACTTAGAATCCACATTCACAGTGCGCATGTGTGTAGTCTTTAATGTAATCATCATCAACCTATTAGAAATTGAATAGGGAGAAAGAGCTATTACCCCCAATGCAGGTCCAGTGTAGATATGTTACAAGTTATATATTATATGCTAACTTACACTCGCGACAAACAGCTTCCACTACTTCCACTACTGATCAAGCTCGAGCTCGAGCAATAATTTAAGTAGTGTTCAGGGAAATATTGACGGTAGTTGATGAGATTGATCTTAGATTTGTAAACTGCTCATAGTAAATGTAAATCTCATAGTAAACTAACGACACACATCACCTAAATAAACCTAAATAAATACTACGAATTAGCTACCTAAATAAATGTCACATTTCAAGTGCTTCACTTAAAACTTTGATATGATAATGAATGAGGATAGGAGCTTAAATTGCGAAAGAATTTAAATTGCGGTTTATTTTATAAAATAATTATCTCTTTGGTCATATACATATATTTTTTGGTTTTATATATATCAATAAATCAATTTCTGTTCGTTTGTTTTGTTAATTCTTAAGAACGGATAGATAGATTTTGCTGATTTTCTTTTTGTAATGTTTGTCTACTCCATGATAGTCCAGGTAAGATTTAAACGGAGATTAAAGTGAAAGTACACTAGTATTATATATAATTGTATTAGAATTCCGTCTGTCTTATAAAAAAGAACAACAATAAAGCAAGACACTTATAAAAGTAAATAGTGAAAAAGTTGAGTTAGTAGAATCGACAAAGTTCCTTGGTATTACACTAGATTCCCGACTGCAATGGGATCCTCATATTGATAGCTTGTCAAGTAGACTAGTTCTGCAGCTTTTGCTGTTAAGAAAATTAGACTCTTGACAAATGTTGAAACGGCAAGATTGGTATATTTTAGTTATTTTCATAGTATAATGACGTATGGTATATTGTTATGGGGTTCTGCGGCTAGCATTCAGGATATTTTTATTTTATAAAAGACAGCTGTCCGTGCTATATATAATTTACGGTCTAGGGAATCTCTCAGAGAAATATTTAAAGAAATAAATATTCTGACTGTTGCCTCTCAATACATCTATGAGAATATTATGTACACAAGAAAACATTACGATTCCTTCACAAAAAAAGTAGAGTTCATAATCTTAACACAAGAAATAAAGATAAACTTGCCGTTCCAAGCATCAGACTTCAAAAAACCAGAGGATCATTTCTGGGTAAATGTATTGCTATGTTCAATAAAGTTCCACAAAATGTAATTGACCTACCCATAAATAAATTTCTAATTCATGTAAAGAATATACTTATGAGTAAAGGCTATTATAAAGTTGATGATTATTTTAAGGATCGCAATGCATGGAATTAATAGCTTTCGCTTTGTTCTAATTATATGTTCAACCTATGTCCTACAGACTTTGAAAGTTGTATTTACTATTGTGATAATACATAGGTATTATTTTGGTAATGACATGATTTATGTAAATGTCATTTCATAACTTATGATAAAAAGCTGGTAAGTTTCTTTCGCTTGTTCTTCTTGTCAGCTAAAAGCGTCCTGAACAAGTGGTAGGGGAAAAAAGTTCTTGGGACGATTCAAAAGTGCTTGTAATAGCCTACTTGAATAAAGATATTTTCATTTCATTTCATTTCAGACTAAACACGGTTAAAAAAATATAAAAGATATTTTTTTTACAGACCGTAAATAATATGGTAGTACGAATAAGTAATTTAGAATGAAAGATCGTTGCGGGCTGAGTAGAAACATATGTAGGATGTGTAGTTAATAAATATCAAATAAAAGGTAAGGTCATAGGATGAATACGGAATAACCCATCTAGATGCCATCGAAGCTTGTTTTAATAAATCGAATTGTCACGTTTCAGTGCGTTCTTAAGAGCAACGCTTGCGGAGCAAATATGTCTGACGGGTTTGATGACAGACGTGCAGTCTTGGGTGGACGAACACGGATCACTCACCGACCACCTAGGTGAGTGGTGACAGATTGACAGATTTATTACAAGGGTGAATCCAGGAAGACCCCACCTGAACCACGGGCATATTGTCTAAATGGTACGGAGATTGTAATCGTCATACCATGTCAAAGAGTTGTGGCGTGAAGTTTGAGAATATTTTTTAAATGCTAAATTGTTTTTTTTCTGAGAAATCTATCAGAATCCCTTTAAAGAGATTAAAAAGCTGAATTTATCTAGCTTTGTATGTATATGTCGCAGCCAAATGGTATAATCAGCCGACCAAATTGGCGGCTGATTATATCACTTAGCTGCGACATATATATAATATCCAAGTAATAGGATTTGGATAAAGTAACGAATAGGTGTACAATAATGAAAATATTCAACAAATCAAAGTTACTAATATGATAAAATAGATGACGTACAATTAATTCAACAGAGGTCAGTTTGACAGTAATGGTTAGGTTAGGTTAGGTTAGAACTGCGATTACAAAACCATTCTATCTATTGAATTTGGTTAAAGGTGTATTTTTAACATAAAATTAAAAGTTTGAACCAAAATCTCTTCTAATTTCATCACTTATTATTTACTTTCGCCAATAGTTAATATGAATAATCTCTAGATAAAGTGATTAATTTGTCACATTATCCATACA